GATTCCATGTTGTTATCTGCAGTTCTCCAGGAGCCTTGCTGTGGCTTGCCTTTCATTCTCCTTTGCCTTAGCACATCTACTCGTGATGCTCTTTTCTGACCCCCACCAATTTCTTTAAAACTCCCTTTTTTATTCCTCAGAGGCTCCAAGATACTGATCATTGCCCACACCTGCACACACAGGACCTCTATGACAGAGGCAACACCCAGTGTAAATACATCAGTGAGAAGATGCTGCCTAGAGCCAGTGGCAGTAATTTATGAGCCAGCCCTTGAAGTGGTTTGTACAAGAGCTAAATAAAATCACAGCATCGTTAAGGCTGGCAAAGACCTCTAAGATGATCAAGTCCCAATCTCTAACCCAACACCACCAATGCACACTGCCATAGTGCTCTGAGGAGGATAATGTCCCAGGGACAGGATCCTGCTATTACTGAGTCTAAGAAGTTTAAATAGGGTTATGTTCCTCTTAATACACACATGCACTCTGAAAGCAATTGTTAGATGAGACTGAGAGATGAAAAGAGATTATTCCCTAAATACTGGACACAGTTTCAGAGAACTGCTGCGCTCGTGTCAGAGCTGATCAACAACATCCCTTTATTTCAGACTGAGAGAGAAGGTGAATTTAATACCTCATTCCCACTAATCCTACTCCACACATTCTTCAGATTAGGAGTATCTTCCTACCTGTTTAGTTCAGCCACCTCCCAGTGCAGACTCAACTAGAAGGAGTCCAGTATTCTTATTCGGGTAAGTATACACATACTGAATTATTCACTACTAATAAAAAATAGCTTTACTGCCTATAAACATATTACTATCCATAGAATATTGCCTTAGTTGGACACTCGAGGACACTCCACAGTTCTGCTGAAGGCTGATGCAGAGGACAGGAGACAGCAGATCTAAATTTCCCGATATTTAGAACCACATCCAAAAAGACATTGGTTGACCAGCCCTGACAAAGTATATTAATTTATAACACATACTCCTTGCATGACTTATAATAGAATGTGTCATAATATCTATAACATGCACTCTTTCTTGGATTATCTAGAATTTTCAGTCTTGACACACAAAACCCACTATCACTTCTCATCTATAAGTAGTCTTTTCTTCTAGATGACAAACTCCGGCTACAGTACATTAGCTGTGAAGTGTTGCAAAAGAAAGCCTATACAACAATTCCAAATTTTAAAAAACAGTTTAAAAAGTCTCCTACTAATTCCTCCTACAAGATGCTAGAGAAGAGATTACAACATACTTAAAATGCCTGTTAAAATAAACGCTTGATCAACCGACTTCATTTGCCTTATTTTATAGCCTTTCCTAGCATGCTTGACACACTCTGCTGCTTAAGAGATTTTTATTACTTCAACCCACAAAGTCCTTCTTGGGCAGTTATTTTCCAGTACTACCAGATTACCAAAACAAAAGCCTCCCTGCTTTTTTTGCCAGTAAAATTTTAAGCAATATAAACAAGGCTGCACAAAGTTACATACCAGGCAGTGCAAGCATAGAGTCAAAATCCCTGCAGTTGGACACTCCAGTGCTGTCTTCTGCACAGCTCTTCCACAGGTTTTCAAACAATGTAGACGTTGTGATCACACTGCCATATATACTGGAGACTTTCCAGTAATTGTTCGGCAAAGTAGCTCCAATCATAGCCCATCCGCCCAAGCACAAAAGAAATCCAACAATTTCCAAGGCAGCAGTCATGCTTGTGAGTAGTAACAGTTAAATGTCCTTATAATTAGATTACAATCAAGTGGAGCCTTTCAGAAGCCTCCTTGCTGTTTTATCTCTGGGTTTCACTCCAAAATGAGGCTACCTTTGCTCTTTGCTCAACCCCAGAGATAAGGCTTACCAGCCATGACAATAAGAAATGGGAGCAGTTCGTGATAAAGATATTAGCGTTTTTTAAAAAATGACAATATTAATCCTTTTTCTAATAGGAAGTGAAAAATGAGCCTATTCTCAGTCTCAGCCTAGAAAGTCCAGTCAGTATTTCTACAAAATACCTTGTAAGAGTGATTAAGATGGGCAAAAATTTATTTCTGTCTCTTCTCTGAAGTCAACTAGATTTTACACGAGATTAAAATTGTTTGTAATTTTATCATTGACCTCAAATCAAAAAGCCTTAGTGTGTTGTTTTCTTGAGGACACAAACATAAGAAAGCTTGAGAACAGGAACTTTATTCCCTTGCTAAAACCAGAAAATTTAGCACATTTTTTGGAGTTATGGTCATAAGTAATCCATAACCAGTGCACTGCCAGCTTCTTTCAGGAAGGTCAAGTTTGTGGATGAGGTGGTTTCCATTAATATTTTACAGTCTATTGATCTATAGTTAGACACATTCAGTCTTAAAAATAGTCCCACTTACACTGGGACACAATTGTAACAATGTATGTGTCGTGGAAATGAAATATAAGGAACTGACTGAGCCAGTGTGACAGAGCTGTCTCAAAAGGAATAAAATTATGAAAAATAATACATATCAGCCAATTGCATCTGTTTGTCAGAATACCTTAGTATTTTTAAAAAAATAAGCTGTTCTAGGCTAAGATGTTAAACTTGGTTTAGTTGCTTCTGCTCTTGACTTTGACAGGATCATAGACTCAATTCACATCACCCACTAATGTTAATACTTTCAGGTATTTGTGTATTCAAACAGGGTTAACCATCTCCTGCAGTGATAACCTGCTCTTATCTCCAGGAAATGGAGTCAGAGTTTCTTCATAAAATAATTCTGTTATGATGCAACATGGTAACAGATTCACAGCATTTACATAAACACTACTGGAAGGATTAGCCTTTGAGAGAGACACAGCTTGCCTGTAACAGATCTGGTTTTTTTCAAAAATCCCCTGGTCACTTTGAGCTGATGCTGCAGGTTGGTAGGTTCAGCTGCAAAAGGATATTACAGTGCCACTATGATATTTTTGCTTCCTTGGCAGCCAAGAGGATCATTGCCTTTGATTTAAAGAAGCCAGTGTGGTCCTGTTTAGCTCTAAACATGCAATCTTTTAAGGAAACCAGATAGTGTATGGTAAGAATTGATCTCCTCGGGTGACTGTTACAGAATTCCCTTTGTCTGCTAAGTCACTGCAACTGGAAAAATGATGGCACAGTAAAGTGAACACACTGTACCCTAGAATATCTGCATTCCATTAAAAGCTCTTCAAAGAGTTTCAAATTAATTTATCCATACACTGGTGATATGCTGGTGACCTCAGTGATCACTGCTGCTGACAGCACTGTCAGAGCTGAGATTAGCTGGGACCTTGAAGCAAGTGTGCTCGAATGTTACACTGCTGCCAAGGATAAACAAACAAAATTAAGAATATGACTTTTTTAGAAAAATCTCTTCCTAATTAAGAAATCCATTTCATCAGGCAGTCAGAAAGCACACATCTAAACTGAAAGGATTAAACTGCACACCTGGAATGCATGAGTTTGTACTATATGGCTCCAGGCATTTTGATCATCCTCTATGGAAACCACTGTTAGATGTGTTGAAGAAGACAGAGCCATTCTTCACTAGGTTTGGTAAGCTATGGTTGGGTGAGTGATGGCCACAACAGCCCATGCTGCCCTGCAGGAGGCTCTGCAGCAGCAGGGAATGAGAGCTGGTGCTGATAGCTCCGCATCAACACCTTCCACAGCTTGGGAGTTTTCCTTCGGGCTTGCTCTAACCTGGTCAGGTGAACTGAATGCTGTCAAAGGCTGCAAGTCAGGAAGTGCATATTTTCCTGGAGCATATTTTCCTGCTTTGCTTCATCCAAAAGGAAACGGATGTGCATGCTCCAAGACCACAGGTGCAGTAAATGGGAATGACTGGAAAATCCATTAGAAAAGGGCACTACTGATGTCAGTAAAATGCTTACATAGACATGTCAAGATCTGACCATATATGATCACAGCAATATATGACCAAGGAAAGAAATTGCTCCTAAACCCTCTGGTATTGTCACAACAGAACATATTTGTACGTGATGTGGCCAAGAGAGGGCTTACAGGCCAATAGAGCTGGGGAAAAAATACTGAAAATATGAACGCCCTAAATGTTTGATCACCATGAGCTGTACTTTTTGATCACTTTCAAGACCCAGGTATGCTGACTGAGCACTGCAATCACACAAACAGCCCTGCAACACATGGCAATTACTCTGCATGCAGCACATGACATGTCTATCTGTTGGCATGAGGAACCTGTGTTGATTTTAGGGAACATGCAGTTCTGTGAATAGTTGAAGATGAACACTGAGCCCTGCCAACCAGAGATCTGGTCTTCCAATTGTAGGGGCAATGGGAAGGTAAGGAAGAGAACCTCTGGGAGGTGACTGCTTCAATTCACATGGAACATTCTGTTCCTAGGGAATGTTTTCTTTCCAGGCTGGGTGTAATGAAACTGCATTTAAGTAAACAAAAAGGGGCTGTCCCACATTGATTCTGCTTACTTCCATAACAGGGCTGTAACACCTGCTTCTCCCTGTTACCTGAGAAAAGGCTGCCACACCATCGTATGCATCCATGCCATCTTGCTACGAGAACTGAAGGGTTGTTGGCCCTGTCTCATCACTAATTTCCAGAAATCATACCTAAGTTTCGAGATGAAACTCAGGCATCCCGGTGTCTACACAGAGGAAGCCTTAGAGAGGATAAGAACATGTACTGTAAGGGTATGAAAAGCTGACATTGTCTCTGATGCAATGAGTATTGTTTTTAAAATCCTTGGGAGCATATGATTAGCCTCCTTTTGAGGCTACAAATTCTGGCCGTGTTACAGGATGCTCATTCTTACACAGGCACCATCATCGTGGAAGGCAGATGAGGCCAACAGAGTCAGAGACCTGTGGAAGAACCATGAACATGCTAAATCTTGAGAGTTAGCTCTGGAGAGTTACACTCTCACAGTTTAGAGTTGTGCAGAAGCAGCTCTGACTCCAAGGGAGTCCATGTCTGTGTCAGAAAAACAAGGCTCATAGTCTGTGAGATGTGGTATTTATAAGTTTGAGCTCTGCACATTGAGAATAAATCTGCTGGAAAGAGTCCAGACAAACAGCAATGACAGTAATCAGGCACCTATAAAGCAGGGAAGACTTGAAGGAATGATTCCATGACGTCGCTGCACAAAACTGAAAGTTGTAAAGAATAAATGCAAGGTTCTGTTTAAGAGAGAAAGCTTAACAGAATACCAGTTTTCTAAGTCTACACTGTTACTGGTTTCTACACTGAGTTTTCTGAGGAAAGAACTTCAGTATCAGTCCTTCCTAGACCTTTAAAATAAAAATGGTGTTTACAGAAGGATATTTTTAAAATCCAGAATGATTCAAACAAATACTTCTCAGTCCCCTATGAAGATATTTCTTCTCTATTTGCAGATAAACCACCCTGATAGTAGGAAAAAACACAAAAGCATGGGTTGCACAGGTGTGTTTTACTCTAAGCTGCCCACCTCCAAGAAGTTCTAGAACAAATACATGGGTTTAGCACAAAGTATCAAACAAGTTCTAGAATATCTAAGCAGCCCTGTCTCACACCAAAGCACAAACAAGCACCAGTGCTCACGGAAATATGATCTGCTTGTGTCAGATTTGGGCTGAGTGAAAGGATGCTATTTCTTCCAAAACAATTAAAAATATCTTAGACTCATTGCATATCACCTGTACAGAGATGGCAACACAACAAAGCCACTGCAGTTACTGAGCTGAGTTGCAGGGTGAGGCATAAGGGTTTCACAGGGGCCCTTTCACCTGTCTGCAACGACAGGATTTGTCCATCCTAGACCCTCTGTGACAACTGCACTGTGTGCCACCAACCACACTAACATGCTGTCCAGAAGGAGGGAATAAATCTACATCCCAGGATTTTACAAACATATGCCATGCACACTTACTGTCCGAATTCAACATGTAGAGAAACGTCTTGCACTGTACTGATCCAACAGCAGTTGCTGCACAGTCCATCCAAAGACCTTCAGACACCCAATCTGCAGTAACTGCATCTGTGGTGGTGTCCAAAATTTTCCACCTGTTTGACATGGTAGCAAACAGTAAAGTGCTGAGTCCTGCTAAAGCCATCAGCAATGCACAAATCTGTGAAGAAGATGATGCCATTCTTCCAACAGAGGTTGTCTTCAAAGAAGCCTCCCAGAATTTCTGATATTGGAAACCTGTTGAAACAGTTTATACACACAGAGTATATATATGGAGTTACCTTTGCACAAGCCTGACCTTTGCAAAAACATCACAAAGATGCCTACCCACAAAATAAGGAATCACATAAGGGAACTGTAGAGATGGAATCTAAATCTCATTAAATATTTGGAAGACTTAAATATTCTATGACATCAAGTAGTTTCTTAGGAAACTTTTATTACTGTACATGTTTTCCACAAAAAAAAACAAACCAACAAACAAAACAACATAGCAAAACCAGAAGACCCAACTGAGGAATTCCCTTATTTGAATTTGCAATGTTTCATCCATTCTTTACTCGTTTGCTAACTCAAAATTCTTTTAAAGTTGTAACTATCCAATGCTTTAATAAATCACTCATCTCCCAATACAACACTACCAAAACAAACTACAGCAAGATAAGTTTTGATACTTACTTTTATGGTCTGTTTCTAACCTGTTTCTTCTGTCTCCCTGTGAGACACTGGTGTCAGCACTTTGTGAGGACCAATTTGATCAAACAAGTGAAGGTTTCATACTCTTTAGGACCTTTGTCCCCATTCCAAAAATCAAGGACCCAAGGCCAAAGCTCTGCCCAACTGTTGCACAAAGCTCTGGCTTGACTTTTTGCTGTCTCAGTGAAAGGGGCAACTCAAATGAGAAAATTACAACAAAATTATTTAAGTGAGTACCAAAAATGCCCAGATTAACCAATGCACCCATTGTCATATAATTTGCTCTGTCAGGGCCACTGAGCTGCTCATGCACCATCAGATTGCAAAGCAATACTGGAAGATAGTGCTTCAGTTTTCACCGTGGTTGTTGTACTTGGAACGTCTGATGCATTTGTTTTAGGATGCAGCCCACGCCGTGAGGAAATGTGCAGACACCTGTACAGTGAACCACATTAAGGAACTAAACTGGTTGTGATTGCAGCCATGCCCTGAGGCAGGACAGACCTTCCAGGCTCCTGCTGGGGGAGGTCTGGCAGCCTGGGACAGCTCTGAAACCACTTAGCTGCTGCTGTTCCTACTCTCTTTGCCTTCCTCTGGCCCAAGGAGTCACTCACCCCTTCCTGACTCTGCTGCTACCATGCAAAACCCATGGGACTGTCCAGATGACACTATTTCAACACCACATCCATCCTCTTCCAACCCATACCACAGACACCCTGCCTTTCAGGACTTGATTGTACCAGCTGTCTGCTACTGTCACTGTTTATGGGTTTGAGGTGATGGCAAAACTGATTGCATAATACTTTGCAGGTGACCAAAGGAGAATGACCATAAACCAAAACCAGATAAATACACAGAGTCCAGAGCATCATCCCTCACCAAGTGCACACAGGGGCTACACACAACTAAGAGCTGTTGATGTAATAAAAACAAGCCTCAGGGGAGCAAAATGATCACCTTAACATTACAAACAGCACAGCTAAAATGTTTCTGGTTTGAACACAGGACAGAAAGAGTTAACAAAGAAAAACAAATATTTAAGTCACTTAAACAAACAAATTGCTCCCGATAAGGGCCCTGGAAGCAAAAATGAGTGGTTAAAGTTTCTAAACTGGAAAGTTAAAGAACTCTTTTACTTCTTTTTCATTTTGTTACAGATAAGAAGAAATAGAGCTTTGATGACAACATTGGTTTCATTTGTGTATGTATATATACATTTCTAATACCAGCAACATATGGCTTTGAACCTGCTAATTGTTTCTTAGTTCAAGCAAACTCTGAGGCTGACCCATGGCCACCAGTGCAATCAGAGAGACAAAAATGCAGATTTAAATACACTACTAAACCACTTAGAACAGTGTCCCACCACAGTTTACAAAAGTTTTCCCTGGTCAGAGTCTGCCCTAAATTGAGAAGACAAACTCTTTCACTACTAGTTAAAAACAAAAGAGAGGAACATTGTTCATTCATTTCTTCTCCACTTCAAAAAAATTTGACTTTGTAACATTGTTCCTGAAGCTGTCATAGCATCTTAATAATCTGATCAGGCTTATGGCTACTTGCAATTACAATATGCTGATTGTTCCCATCCTGCTATGAACATTCCCTTCACACGATGACCTACAAGAGAAACTTGGTCTGGAAGGGACCATGGTGATGCCAATGAAGAACAGCTTCAGTGTTGAGTCAGATCACCCAAGCCTGGACTGCTCACAATGAAGTGGGGGCTGGAAACTGCACAACACACGTGGGTGTTCCTCACACCCATGAGGAACTTCTGCTGCTGCAGTATGTGGCTGCTGCCTCTCATACTCCCCAGGCATCCTAAGATAAACCA